GAAATAACTTTTTATTTTTTATTTTATCTCCTACCATCAAGCCTAATTTTGAAAAAAGACCAGTTGAAATTTATACTGCCCTAGGGGTTATTATTATTAAACTGTTATCAAAAGGCGTAGGTGAGAGAAGTTAGATTTCTCTGCGGTTGGATCGATTCCAGTCAAATATGTTATAAAAACCGCCTAAAGTTGGGCAGTTAATTACGTGATTCAGATGAGAGCGATTTTATACTACTTAAGGTTTACCAGATGCATGTTCAATGAGATTATTCAGTATTATTATCCAGTATTCTTTTTGATGAGTTCCCATTCAGGCTGCACAGTTATATATGCGTATATAAGGTAAATAATAATTTTATGCGCACCATCTATATAAAGCCTTTTTGCAAGGATGAATCATATAATCGAACAAGAATAGTCAGTTATTTACAGAGTGGCGTTGTGTCCTGAATTTCAGATGAGATACCGTGACTGTGTGGAGTTCCCCATGTCAGTGTCAGGTTTCCCAGTTTTTCTAACTAAGATATCAGCTTATGATGAAATCCTGTAACCAATCATTTAAATCTCTACAAACCAATACTTGAAAAGTGTTAAGTTTCCATCAAACTACTTATGAGTAATAAAATAAATTTCACCAAGAATTTTACAGTGAAGACAATTTTGAGTTCGAGTGAAACATTGGCGTTGTGGTACTGCCGTTGTTATAAATGCCCAGGAGCAGTCTAACCTCCGACGAGGATTGAAATTCACTGTCGACTTATCCATTAACTAATAACCATTGATATGTCAGTAATCTTCCTTTTTATACCATTTATTACTATAAAAAAAGTATAAATTACTATTTTGTTGTTCATTATGTCGTTTACTTTAACAGAACCAAATTTCACTGCAAATATTAACATTCTTTCTCACCTTCAATTATCCTCTTTCTATGGTTAAACTGTATTTATTGCTCATGTTTCTTTTATGTGCCATTTTCTCCCTCTGTCTCTTGAATTTTGTATATTGTAACTACTTTTTCTTTGCTTTGTCTGCATTTATGCACTCTTTGTTCCTGATCGCAGATAATATTTGACACAGGATTTTTAAGTGAATTGCGACAATGTTTTTGACTGTATTGAGCACATATACCTCAGAATTTTGTGGTTTGTGAATTGCTGTTTATTATTCTTATCTGTTAATATAGTATCGTACTTTTCAAAGAAATCCTGTGCTCTGGGTGTAGCGCGTATTTCAAGCGGCGCTTAGTGTTTATCTGATCAAAAGTACGCTTACTAATTACCGTTCAGGATTCCTCAGGAAAACTTACACCTTACCTATTTGGAAACGCACAAAATAGCTTTTTACTTGCATATCATCCAGTTTGTGGGAAATCATACATATATATCATCGGCGAATTCTAGATTTTTCAAGTTTTTTGTGTGGGTCCATTTTATGCCTGTCTCCTCGTCGCCCGCCGCTGTCTGTAGTATTAGCCAGTCTACCACAATCAGGAAAACCGTTGGAGATAGTAGGCAGCCAGCTTGTCTTACTCTCGCCTTCAATTCGAAGGATCCCGTTAGTTTCACGTTGTGGATCACTCGGCGTGCAGCATTATCGTACAATTGTTGGATGAGGTGTATAATTGTTGGTGGCACTCCGTAGTAGCGAAGTAGTTTACAAATCACCTCTCGATCGACGCTGTCGAAGATCATTTCAAAGGCATTGAAATTGGGATGGAGAGCTGATTGATATTTCAAGCTCTCTTCCATGATGATACGTAGTATTGCAGTTTGGTCGATGCATGACTTGTTTCTACTGAATCCAGCCTGTTATGCTCGTGTGTGTTCAGGGTGTGTTTGATTCTCTCCAAGGTGATATGGCTTAGTATTTTGTTTGTGATGAACAAGAGAATAATGCCACACCAGTTCTTGCATTGACTTAAGTCTCCTTTCTTTGGCAGTTTGAATAAGTAGCCTTTTTCCAATCCTCAGGTACCTTGTCCTCTTTCCACATCTTCTCCAGTAGTAGTGTCATCAAGTCCGCTGATTTTTCTAGGTCCAAATTCAATGCTTGTCAAAGTTTCTCGCCTTTCCGATCCTTGATTTGACATCCTCGTCCGTTCCTCTTGTACTTGAGACAATACTCTCTAGATAAGTGAGTGAATGAAGTAACCTCTTTCAAATCGCTTCCATTGATGGTGATTGGTGCTGGATATTGCTGTTGTTGTTGTTGATTGGTTGTTTTCATAACCTCCGTCTTGTTTATGTTCATCTGGAGTCCTGTCTTCTCCAGCCGCTTCTTTGACCAGTTTGTCGGTTTTCGCTTGTAAGTCTTCGATTTTGTGTGACATCAAACATAAATCATCCACACGCGAAATCCAGGTCTTCTAGGTTCTTCACGTCGGTCCGGGTCCAGGATATCCCTGTTTTCTCGTTTCCCACTGTCTGACGCATAATCCAGTCCACCACAATTAGGAATATCATTGGTGATAATAAGCACCCTTGTCTGACTCCTGTGTTTACTCCAAACGCCTCGATGAGCTTTATGTTGTGGATCACTTGAAATGTGCAGTTGTCGTACAGCTGTTGAATTAGGTTGATGAATATTTGGGGTACACAGTAGTACTCGAGTAGTTTCCAAATTACTTCTCGGTCAACGCTGTGGAAGGCCTTCTCAAAGTCTATGAAGTTGAGGTAGAGGTTTGATTGCCATTCCATGCTTTGTTCTGTGATGATGATGCGTAGGGTTGCAATTTGGTCAGAACATGATTGGCCTTTCGTGAATCCAGCTTGTTCTGGTAGGATTTCTGTATCCAGTGCGTCCTTTATTCTCTCCAGGATTATGAGACTCAGGATTTTACTTAACGTCGATAGGAGCGAGATATAAGACCGATAAGCAAATAAACTACATTGAATTAGTCATGCAGAAAGATAGGTGCGAATGTTTTCCAGGTAATGTTCAAATAGATAAGGGGAGAGGGGTATGAGAGATTAAAATTAAGATAAAATGCATTACGCTTCAATTACATCACTTAGACAAACAATTAGTCATTAGAGAATTGAAAACAGAATAATATCAGTAGTGATGTTTATAATAATAATAATAATGTTGAAGTGAGTTAACATAATGCTACTGATAAAAGATAGTTTTAAATGAATCAAGAATAATAATAATAAGAGGTAGAATAATTAGTAAAACTTAATACCATGGTAGATTCATAGTCACGACCATCTCCTTTTGTATACAGGGACCTGGTTTATAAAATATAGTTGCACAATTCTCTGCAATTGCAAGCATCTTCCTGTTCCTTTGTCTGCTGACAACAGTGAATGACTTGACAGCGTCGATATCATGTCCATAGTCCAGAAGATGTTTTATCATTGAGGTTTTGGTACTTTCCATTCAGCTGTTTTCAACCCCTTTGGCAAATGCTTCATCATGCTAGTAGACAATCGCCTTTCTGCACGATCTGTCTATTTGCTTTCACAAAAACACTCAAATTGATATACGTAGTTTGAAGTGTCGAGGATTGGCGACTCGTCTTTCCCAGATTGTTGAAGCACTCATTTGGTGGTGTTAAGGAAAGCAAGTTTTGCAGCATAATAAGTTCTCTTGATAGCTTGGTCGAGTCTTTGTTTGACTACTTCTTGTACATCATCTCCTTTGAATGGCAAACTGATATAGACAGATTACTTCGGAACTGTTTGGATGGTTTCGCAGGGGCTAATTTCATTAGAGTATTTATAAATAATGAATTTCTCAGGATATCCATTCTTAGATAAAATATCCTTCAGAGCTTTCATTTCATGCTCAGTTGTACTGTCAGAGCAAATTTTCCGTGCTATATTGAACAGTGTTCCGACTAAGTTCCTTTTACACTGGATTGGAAGAAAGCTCTTGAAATGCATGTACTGTCATGTCCATGAAGACTTTCTAAATACAGATCTCTCGATTGTGCCATCAGTCCTTTTCACTAAAAAAAACGTCTAGGGATTTCATAGTATCATTTTCTTCGTGTTCTAGTGTGAAACTGAGACTCAGGTGGCATGAGTTAAATTTTATCAGCATGCCTTCAGCTTTCGCTATGCTTCCACAGACAATCAAAATGTCATCAACATATCTCAGGCATACATACATCCGTTTCTTAAATATGTTGCTGCAAGTTACCAGCTCCTAGGCCTGACAAGAATAAGTCTGCAAAAAGTGGTCTCAAGAGGCTTCCCATCGCGCAACACCATCAACTTGACGGAATAAACAAACATCAAGTAAGCCGCCCTTCTTATTCTTCCACTCTATTAATATACTGTTTTTAATGTTGCTATATAGCTTTCATTTCTAATTTTTTACTCATAGTCTTTATTAAGATTATTTTCACCCTAAATGTCTTGTTAATTCAAGTGTTGGTTTGTAGGAATTTGATTAGTTACAGGATTTTCATCATGAGCTGACATTAGTTAGAGAACCATTGGAAAACCTTAGAGTACTGGACAACTGTTTCGTCCTATTTTTCGACTCTTCATCAGTACGCACCCACTGTTTGCAATAAAGTTACTTTTTACTATTATTATTATTCTGATTGGATACTAACAACTGACCAATGTGGCTAAGCAGACTAGAGTAATGACCATTGGATAAAATCGAATCCTCAGAATCATTAATAACTAACTAGTCAGCTGATTTTCTCTTTTAGCGTTTTCCACAAAATAAGAAACTTTTTCATTCACCATGTGAGTAACTGATATGTGAGTAATAAATAATCAGTTTAATTTTCAAAGAATAATCCCACTCTCTTACACAATTTCAAAAACAGCGCCTTTCTTAAATTCAAATTTAAACAAACATAATATATATATACAGGCATATTATATATTAAACATTAAAAAATATGTGAAAAGAAAATGAAAATCCACCGAAAAACAAAAAAAACGTAAAAACTGAACACACTCAAACGATCCGGTTGATGATGGTTTGTCGATGAAATCAAATCAAAAATTCATTCATTCATTGAATATATAAAAATGACCGGTGGTAGTACACAGATATCAGAGGAGTTCACAGAAGTCAGCTTGATATATCGTCAACATTATGAAAATTGGATATTATGGAGGAATTCCATTCTATTTCTATTACTACTTTGTACTGGAATATTTATATCAATTGATTTATATAATATATCTGATAAAAAGTTTAATAATTTCCACTGGAATAATCATCCACACTTTGGTCGTCAACATTCTCAAATATTGAATTCATTGAATATCATTAGAGATTTAGTAACGGCAAGTGACTACTATATAACTACTACTGAAAAGGTGTCAAGTAGTATAAGCAGCAGTAGTAGAAGTAGTAGTAGTAGTAGTACAAGTTCTCTTATGAATGATGAATCTGGTGACAATAATAATAACAGTGATCGGGATTTATATGCAAATGAGGGAAAATTGAATAGGACTGCTATGAAACATCATTATTCTAATAATAATAATAATTTATTTAGACGGAATGTTCAGTTACAACGTTTGACTAAATCATGCCTTAATATGGAATCTATTGATTGGAATATGATACTGCGGAGAGATAAAACATATTATCGTTATGAATGTAAGTTTTGTAATTTACAGCATGAATGCTTTTTTTTTTCTCAGTTGACCGTCTTTTTATCATTTTAAAGTACAATTTGATTTGATTTTCCATTATTTATCTGTGAGTGGATTGTTGTTGTCATTTCATCAGTACTGTGCAATAATCTGTCATGGCTGTTTTTAGAGTCATTTTGGGAAAATTAACATTTAAAACAATTAGTTCCCTTTATGAATTTAGATAAAGCAATAAGAAGACGTAATTTGTCTGAATCGTGTACTCTTGTATTTGCGCAACACATTTCGAACAATCTGATCACACACGGACTTGTCATAGGAATTATATATGAAATTAATAAAGAGGTAAGAGGTGAGAAAATAGACTTAGGTCAAGTTAAAAGGACATATTCAAGGTCAAAGTAACAATGAAGACCACTAAACCAAATAACAGAGGTAATAGTACATCTGCTATGGTATCAAAACAAAATTTACCAAGGAAGGTTTAATGTGATGACGAATTGTTGCTTTGAACGCATAAAGGTGGCTTAAACTTTCTAATTGCTAGGGCTTCCACAAACTTTAGGATACGCCCCAAACACGTTTTATAGATAGGTTTAAAAGATCTGTTAACGTCAATTTTATGTCCTGTCTCTATAATATGTTTCGCAATAGAAGAGCTAGGTCTCCTGTTCTCACCGTTAATAGGTTCTGAAGATTCCATTTGTTTCTGGAGCCATTTAGGAATATGCTCTGAAGCCATCCCTTACTTGCAGAGATCGATGAGTCCTCCCTATGTATGTGTGTCCACACGTACATTCAAATTGGTAAATACAGTGGGATGTGACGTCATTTTTCGCATGTTCGAAGGGCTTAGATAGATATATTGGCTTTATATTCTCTATTATTATGATATTGGCTGCATAAAAAGTCTTTTTGACAGCAGCGTTCAGTCTTTGTCTAGTTATCAAGCTGCTTTGATGCCCCATATAGGGTAGCTTGATGTACATGTCTTTCTTAGGGGCGAGTTGGAGAGTGGGTCTTGGTGTTCTGACTACTTTATATCTCCTGATGAACTTGTCTGGATAATTGTTATCAACCAGAGTTTGTGTCAACTTTCTTTCTTCTGCATCAAGTGTGTCTTCAGTGCATATTCTTTGGATTCTACTGAAGAGGCACCTTACTAAGGCTCTTTTGTACCGAACAGGGCAGAAACTGTGGTAATTAAGATACTGTCCTGTCCAGGTAGGTTTTCTATAAATAGATCTTTTTATTGACCCATCAAGCCGTCGACTAAGCAATATGTCTAGGAAAGATAAACAATTATCTTCCTCTTCTACAGATGTAAGTGATATGCTATTCTGGACTTCATTCATTCGATTTAAAATTGAGGTAGCAGAACAAGACTTATCACTGATGATTACAATATCATCTACATACCTTCTATAAAGTAGGCACATTTTCGATTAAATCCTCCGATAAATTCTCAATGTACGACATATAAATATCTGCTAAAAGGGGCCCTAACGGACTTCCCATAGCAACACCATCAACTTGGCGGAAACAGTCGCCTTCAAATGTAAACCTAACATTGTTAGTACATAGAAGTAATAAATCCCTTAAATAAGATATAGGGAACGGGATGAAAAAATTGTTTGTGGAAATATAATCACACAAAATGTCAACTGTTTTGAGCAAAGGCACATTAGTGAATAACGAGTTTACATCAAAAGAGTACATATTCTTATTCATAATATTAATATTACTATTGTCAAGAAAATCAACCACTTCCAATGTATCTTTCAACACATACTTACAGAATTGTGTTTTGACTGGATGCAATAATTCTACTAACCATTTAGCAAGTTTATGTGCTGGGGATTTGCACATTGACAATATAGGACGTAGAGGATTATTGGGTTTATGTATTTTTGGCAAGCCATACATATGCGGGAATTTACAATCTGATGGTTTTAATGAGTCAAATTTATCTTTACTTATAGCATTTAGGCCTTGAAGCTTCAGTAGATTAGCTGTCACTGTGCCCTGAAACAACTGAATATCTTCTGAGGAGGGATCACGGCTAAATTTGCTTTTATCATCAAGAATAGACATCATTTTAGATTTGTAGTCACTTTTATTCATAATAACGACTCCAGAACCTTTATTAGGTTTCGTAATAATTATATTAGAATTTTCCCGTAGCTCTTTCAAGGCAGACAAATTACGTCTTCTTATTGCTTTATCAAAATTAACATTCATTTAACTTTTTTCCAGGATTTATCTCAAACTAACTTGACACGTTTTGCATCATTATTCTTTAAGAGACTACTCTATGAAGGCTGACATTTAGAGTGAACGTCTTACAGAAGAGAAGGGGAATATTCTTTTCGATAACTCACTGGTATGGCTTTAAATTTATACATGCATATACATATATTTAATATCTAGAAATCACCAGAATTGATAATATTGACGATTAAATCTTATCTCGTGACATCAACACACAACGCAAGTGATAGAAGGAAAAAGGAAACAGAAATGATTATAAATATATATATATATAAGTCATGTGAGAAAGTCTATATGACACCATAATCAGATGATTACAAGTGGTGAATTGTGCTAGAACCATGCTTATCCAACTGCCTACCAATTATGTACCACTGTCTTTTGTACGAAATCAACGCAATACCTTCAGGAGTGTAGAGGGATAAACCACCTAATTTTGCCTCCTGAATGTGTTTCTGTTTGTTTATTATTATTATTGTTTCCTTTAATTCCTAGAGGAACATAGGGCTTCAGCCATGCGTCTCCACTGAGTTCGGTTCTCCGCTAGAGTCTTCATCTGGCTCCAAGTCTGCCAACACGCTTTCATGATATCACCTGAGGGAGTGTTTCCTCAGAGTATGGCCAGCCAATCCATCTCCATTTCTTCCTGCCTATTTGTTTTACAATCGGTTCCTGCTGAGTTGGTTCGCTCATTGCCAGAGATCCATCTCTGGTGCTGATCTTTACTGGCCGGCCATCTGATCTTGAGTGGTATTGAGCGAAGACAGCTAGCTGTTAATGAAGGTCTGTAGTTTGTTTGAGATGCTCTTCATGACGCGCTGGCCAAGTCTCTGATCCGTATAGTGAGTAGCACTGATTGACTTCACATTGGAGTTGAAAATCCGGATCTTATCTTCGTTTTGATGCTGAGTAGGGCTGTTGACCTCCTGCACACAGACTTGAGAGTGGTGAAAGCTTGTCTTGCTTTTCCGATCCTCGCTTGCTTTGATATCCTCGTCAGTTCCGCTGGCCTGTAGTTGAAACGATGCTTCGCAGGTCGGTTAGTGAAGGAGGTTCTTTCTTTCAGGTTCCTCCTATTTAGTAGGAGTAGGTACCTCTTATTTGATAGAGAGAAAACTCCTCGATGATAGTTTTGTGGTCTGTTTGTACGAGATGTTATAATGTAGAACTATTGGTGGTTTTAACTATATATATCTTTATTTCGCTACACTGGAATGTGTTCCTGAGCACGAAAAACTAGGTTTTGTAGAACAGTTGCTGATATATTTGATGCTAAAAGAGAATTTGAATTTGTGGATAACTTAAAAAGTGGCTAACTAAGCTACTTCGTCTTTTAGTTGAAAAAACCACAACCAGTAGTGTGTAAAATAAGAGCTGCAGCTTTGGTTGAAATTGTTCTGCATCGATTTGCTTAACTTATCATTATTATCATTTCGCTTTTTATGTCATTTTTAGGAGATTAATGCATTGTAAACAGTCTGATTTACAGGTTACAGTCACATTTAATGTATGTTAAGGATTTATGTACACTGACAAAGCGAACATGTCGGTCTGAATGCGTTCATTCACTGGAAATGATTAATTATTTTTCGCAAATTACACATAAAAATCCATTTATTAGTTTATTCCCTAGCTTCCGTCAATTTGACTGAATAAAATGTTACATGTTACATCCATTCATATATATACTTTATTTTTTTTAAATAATGTTCGGCAAAATATTGACACACGTTAGTTGATTAATTAACTAGTGTTTTAGAAATCACTACTGACTTGCATAATTTATAATATTCTGGTGCCATGAAGATTACTCTAAATATGACATTACAACGTTATTATTATTGTTCCCTTGGGTTCCTAGTGAAACATAATGCTTCAACTGCACGTCTCCACTTGATTCTCTCTTCTGCTGTACTTTTCACCTGCGTCCATGTTAGTCCATACTGTTTGAGCTCCTCTTCACACGATCTCCTCCATGTCACCCTTGCACTGACGTCCCACTTACTGCTTCCCTTTCCGGTTCACTCGAGCGTTGGCCTGACGCGGGATGTCACCCAGTGGCCAGAGTGTCTTCACTATCTTCTGCATATTTGTTGGGCGATTGGTTCTTGTTTTGTTTCTCTCCATAGCTTCTTGTTGGTTCTTGTTCTTTCCGGCCATCTGATCTTCAGTATATAACCAGCGAAGACAGTTAGTTGTTGATAAAAGTCTGCAACAGGCTGTTGGAAATACTCATTCTTTGTGACCCGCCGCTAAGTTTCTGATCCATCTGTATAGAAGAACTGACTGACTTGACGTTTGTATTGAAAATCCGAATTTTGTTGTTGATGTTGAGTTGAGTGAGGAAGATTTCCAGATTGGTTTCAGGTTCATGAATGTGTTTCTCGTCCTCCCGATTCTCGATTTGACGTCCTCGTCCGTTCCTCCTGTGGTTGAGACAATGCTGGTTGCCTAGATAAGTGAATGAAGTAACCTGTTTCAAATCCATCCCGTATCTGGGATAAAATGATGGCGTGTATTATTCATATGGGATGAGTTTCTTCATGGAAAAAACACACCAGTGGTTCGGAATCAGTAGGTGATTTGATGAGGATGGTTCTAGCAAACTTTTTACTGCGCGTCTATCAGGTATTCTCATAGGCTTTACATATTTACAATCTTTTCTGTTTCATCTTTACTCCTGTTACGTACGTTTGGTGCTGATGCGACGAGTAAAGTTTCACTCATTAACCCCTCTCTTCCCTTATTATGCATATACCAGCCAACACATGTACAACGAAGAACAACGGCAGCATACCGGCCTCAAAAAGAATAACAA